AGGTACATGGAGATTATCTTCTGCGTAGCCGACCGCCTACACGAAGCACAGGAAAACGTGGACGCTTGCCGAAAGGACGAAGAGAGCACCCTGGGGTTCGCAAATACCGCTGCAGCGGAAAGCTGGCTAGAACGAGTGCGCTGCTGGGCGGCCGCTGTGAGAGCCGATTTGGAGGCCGACTCTATCTCCTCGCCGACGGGGAATCCAGACTGCAGGCGGTTGGTCTACCGCAAGGGCATCCTCTCCTCCGACACGAGCGACGCCGCCGATGGTGCTGGCACGACGGCGTGGATGTGCAAGCATTGCGTCGCTGCACTGCGGGAACTCGGCGGCCCCCCCGAACGACGCCGTCCCCGCGTTCGCGCGCCTCCCGCCGCGCTGATCAACGGCATGTGGCGCGGACGTGACCCGCGTGAACTCGACGACTTGACGCGCGCGGAGGGGAAGGTCGTGAACCTCGCCAAAATATATGTCAGCGTGAAGCGGGTGTTCCTGGACAAGAGGTCCTACGCTCCCGCGGCTACATCCACGGCGCCGACGTACCACCAGGGAAACGTCGTAGCCTACCCGCAGAGCCCTGACGCTGCGCTGACGGCTCTGGGCATGCTGCCAGCCGCGCTGGCCCAGACCATGCTGGTGCAGTTCGTAGGCGCCGTAACCGACGATCTCCGTCGACACCCCGAACTGCAAGTGTCGGTGAGGCGCCTGCGCGACGCATTTCGATGGCTCTCCTCGAACAACTGGGCATTCATGCTCGCCACCAGGCACCGCGACACTTGGCGCGGCGGCACTTTGCACGCTGTGTTCGAAAACCTCTTGGACGCTTACAAGACAAGTATTGGGAGCACCGAAGGCGTTCCAAGGGAGGTGCTCGCTGCGGCGACACCGGCATCTGCGGCGAAAGCCTCCGTGGCCTCAGAGGGGCCTGCTGATTGCGGAGATGGCACCGATCCCGTTCACGACCAGAGTGATGTGCGCGAGGACACTAGTGCAGCAGTGGTGAATGGTGGCATGGACGACGTTACGTCATTGCGACTCTGGACGCAAGTCGTGGAGAACTTCGAAGTGGCACAGCCCCTCCACGACGAGATCAGCAAGCTTTCCAGCGACGCGGACCCGTCCGCACGCGCCCACAAGAAGATGCGGCACAACGAGGCACTCGCCCAAGCAGTTGACACCATGCAGCGGATGTCCAGCGCCCATGTCCGAAAGGAATTGGAAAAGTGGGCCGCGGGAGAGAAGTCCGAGATGCCGCCGGTGAAAATCACTCACGGCGATCAGTTCGTGTCATCCCGGACGGAAACGTTCTGGGGCGCTTGCTTCGTCCGCCTTTTCCCGCGCGGGGACTGTCAGGAGACGTGCCCGCGGAGAACGACTCGCCTTCCTTCTGCCCAATGGGCGAAGGCTTTGCTCACTCGGGCCGATGCGACGTGCTGGCGGCGAGACGTGGAATTCGTAGCCACCGTTTTCAACGCGTTCCTGCGGCGGGACCAGATGGCCAACGTGGAGGCCCACGTCAAATCCACAGGCCACGGTGGGGCCACTGGCATGACGGCAGACGAAGCCCAGGCACTCACGAAGCTCACGGCCGAAGGCCTCGTTTCTTCTGCCGCCGCAGCAGGCGACGCCACCAGCGTCCGCGAGCTTCTCAGAGAAAAAGGTCTCGATCCTGTCGTCCGGAACGCCGCCCAGAGAATGAACCTCGTGCTCCGACGCGTCCGGGGCTCCGCCGAAGAACGGGACGGATTCATATGGCGATTTCGAGCTCTGCGCGTCTGGTCTGGGTGCTCATCCTTATTTTTCACACTGAACCCACACGACATTCGGAGCCCCCTGACCGTCCTTCTGACGCAAGGCGACCTTACCGTTGCCCGTGAGTTCTCTCTTGACATGAGCGAGACTGAGGCCGCAGAATGGATGGCCGATTTCAACCAGGCGGACCCGCGAGCCTTGCACACCCTCGTGTCGCAGGACCCGCTCATCGCCGCGCGTGTCTTCCACTGGACAGTACGCCTCGTCATGCGCACTTTATTTAATTGTACTGACACCCCCGACAACCTCCACTGCGATGGCATCGCTGCGAACACTTTGCCGGGCATCTTTGGCCACGTCAGGGCGTACTTGGGCGTCGTGGAAGAACAAATGCGCAAAGCTCTTCACGTCCACATGCTCATTCAATGCAATTGCCTTCGGCACTCCCGCCTCCCCCCTCCTCCTCTCCCGCGCCCCCCAGGAAGTCGACTTACTCACGTCTCGGCATCCGGGCACCCAGGGACATTCCGTCGTTGGTCTATGAAAACGTCGGAACGGGGACCTCCCAGGCGCCTTGGCACGCCCGATCGTCATCCACAGGACCAGCTTTTTCGGTGGAAGCCGTAGATCTGCGGATACGGGTCTCGCCTTCCAGTGCGCGGCCCTGCCATGTGCTCCCCGGGCCCGCGGTTCCGCCGCACGCGCCGAACCTGGCGCCACACCCCCTTGGCCAGAGTAAAGCCCCCGTGTAAGTCGGCATGCCCGTGCCGACAATGTTGCGCGCTCCCCGCGCGCTATAGCCGCCAGAGCGCGGCGGCGGATTGCTCGGATTCTCGCGCCCAGACGACCTGTTTCGAAACGGCGACTTGCAGACCACGTTCAAGCGGACTTGGCACTACGCGGCTTCCATCACTTCCCGCAGCACGGAGGCCTTCGCACACTACACGGGTTCACCGCTTGGGATGGATGCTTTGCGGCGGTTGCCTTTATTGCTGCTGACCAAGTCGCAGCGGGACAAAATTGGAAGTGTCCGTGCTGCTGCCAGCAACACCGCCCAGCAGCAAAGTCGAGGAGCTGTCGAACCAACTGCGTGCATTGGCGACGTCCCAGATTTTGCGTTCTTCCCAACGTCGTTCTCGTCCGACTCCAGCGTTGACAATGGGCAATGGGCTGCGCGCGCTGTCCAAGAGGTTTTCTCTCGGACACGCAAGACAGGCAACCACGTATGCAAACCCGCAGTGTGCTACAAAGGACGCATTGGGAAAAAAGGGTTCTGTCGTATGCATTACTGGCACTGGGCTCGGCACTGCGACGAGAAGAGTGGCAGAGAGGTCGCCAAACGGCAGCATGGCTTGGAACTCCACGCTCGCTGGGATGGTCAGGGCCCGCCGCCCATTCTGCGGTGCCCGCCGCACGTCGGCTTGCCCGCCCTAGAAACGAACCACCCCTTCCACTTCCGGCTCAACCCCGCTATCATGCTGGGACCTCAGTGCAATCATGACCTGGCCGTCCTGTTACGCCTCTGCGACTTGCCCTCGACCGGGAACGGGCCTCCAAACGAATGCAAGGTACATGAGATAAAGACTGCTATGGCGGAGGCCATGGGTGACCACGAGTACTACACCTCGGCATACTCATCGAAAGCACAGCCGCACGCGGATGGACTGAAGCTGACGCTAGCCGCTTCCCTGGAGAGGGCGGAACGCGCCGCGCGCGCAGCAAGCACTTCAGCGGAGGTGGACGAGCATGAGAAAGCCAGGAAGTTGTTGCATACACTGGTTGCCGCGACGAACAACAGAATGCACAAAGGGTTCCCCGAAATGATCAGCTACTTGCTGGGGAAACCGATCGTGTACAGTAGCCGTACCTTCGTCCCCGTGTTCTTCGGCAAGCTATATGCTGGCATCCGCAGCGTGTTGTACGCCGCATCACGTGGCGACGACATCCACGCAGACACGAAACGTGCCCGACCTTACACTACGCCAATTACCTCGACCAGGAACTTCCTCGACGAGTTCGATTGCGCGCACAGGCCGGATGAGATGGAGCACTTCCCGCTGTACTTTTTCTTTGCTGCTTGCGATGCAAAGGCGTCAGTTCAGAAGAAGCCGCCGCCAGGCTCGCTGCAATGGCGCGAAGACGGCGCCCATCGCCAGAGGACAGCCACAGCCGTGGTAAGTGCCACCTATGACAAAGTTCCGCTCCGGGGCCACCCTACGTCTGCCGAACCACGCGGACCGATCCTGTATCAGTACGCGTACTACGCCTCCGTGCGCCTGCATAAGCCGTGGAAGGTGCCGATCCTCTACGGCAAACTACCAGGCAGACCGCAGAGCGCAGATCTGTTGGAAGAATGGTTCCTCTACGTCGTGCACATCATGATCCTCTTCCGACCGTTCCGAACTTTCCACGACTTCGTCCATCGCGCTGCGCAGCTCCCGTGGATCCACGGCGAGGAGGAGTTCCAGAAAGCGGTCGTCAACGAATTCCACAAGTGGGAGACGTCGCGGCGAGAAGCCGCCATGCAGTGCACCTCTACCACGCAACCATTGTCCGACGCTTGGTGGGCGCGCAGGGTGGAGGAGACTATTCGGAACTACGACTTCGCTTCCTCCAGGAGAGAGACAGTCAGAGATGCCTGCCCTTCGAGCGTCCAGATGCCACACCTGCCACAGTGGGCGAGCGCCGCCGCCAGCAACGCCGACGCTGCGACGCACGACCCACCTATTCATCACGCTTCGCGTATCCCGAACCAGCTCATGCAAAAACCCTGGCCAAGAGAGCTGGCCAGAGTACCGATACAGTAACACAATGTGCTGGCCTCCGGCCAGTGCAGCCGATCCGGAGCGCTCCGGATGCGTGTGGTGAAGGACGACGACCAAGACGATTATGATGACGACGACCACTACGACGACGTAGACGGACGGCCAGTGATGGGCGACCAATCGCAGCGTGTTGGAAGCAGCTTGGAAGCAGTTTGTGGGTTTCTTGTGAGGCATCGTGGAGGCCTCTTGCAGCCATCTTGGAACAAGCTTTTGAACCTCTTGGGAAGCTTTTTGATGCTTCCTGAGAGACACTTGAAGCCTCTTCGGGCCTTCGAAGGCCTTTTGAGGCCATCTTGGAAGCTCCTAAGGGCCTCTTGGGCCTTCTTGAGCCTGCCTTTTCTTGAACCCTCTCCGAATGGGAAGACGAGATTGACAGAGGAAGCGCTCTCGACCACCTCCGCCCATTGGGCTGGTCGGATCCTGATGGAATCTGACGACGACGACAACGGCAATCCAGCCGACGTACCCATGGACGACGAGGAAGCCACGGATGAACTGCCTCGCCGACCATTCCGCGCGCAAGATCCTACGAGTGTGCTCTGCGGCAGTTTCCCTGAAGGCATCGAAATGGACGACGTCATCGCCCCGGAAACGTGGCAGAAAAGCAAGGCAGCAGAGGCCAAATACATCGCCGAATTCATGCGGGACAACTCGGACCGACTGCGCGCTGCGGAGCGGCCGCCAGATTGTACTGTGGCCAGCGACGCAACTTGCATGCGCCCCGCCGCGTCGCTGGCAGCGGCAGACCGGCAATCCGAGTTTTTCAAGATGGTGGACGCTTGGAAAGCAGACTCTCACTTTCATCGACACAAGTCCCCGCAGCCAGCACCCGATGCACTTGAGAGACGACTTCGCGCTGCAATGGCTACCGGCGACGCGTCGACGTTCCCCCCTGTACCTCCGCGCACGAGGACGGCAGTGGTCGACGCGTGCCTACACCTTCTGCATAATGGAGTCTTGGATGTAGTGGACATGGAGCGCGTGAACGTCAAACAGGCCCGCGCTTTGCTCTGGAACGCGGCATGGCTACAAGATGTCATGAACCGCAGGTGGGGCTTCGATGAGCCCACGGGCCCAACGGCAACTGGACGCCCTTCACTCGCCGATGGTTTTCAGCTGGCTCTTATGGGTCCAGGCGGTACTGGGAAGACGGCGGTGCTGAGAGTCGTGGAAGCGGTGATCTGCTACTTCAACGGACCCGACACGGTTCAGAAGTGCGCGCCGTCGAACTCCGCCGCGAGGCTTCTCAAGGGTGACACGCTGCGCGCTCTCTGCAAGCTGCCGTTCGGCAACGTCACCGTGACGGGCAAGAAGGGCCGCTTGACCCGATCTGTCTTAGAACAGCATCGAGATCGATGGGAGTGTGCTCTCGCGTGCTTCATCGACGAGGTGTCCATGGTTGCTGCGGCGCAACTCTTCCAGTCGGAGGTCCGATTGACAGCCGCGAAGAATTCCGCTCAGGCATGGGGCGGCTTGGGAATGACGTTGTCCGGAGACTTCATGCAGCTCCCGCCAGTAGACCCGACGGGGGACAGCAGGAGCCTCGCCACAGACCCAGACGAAGTCGACGTCCTCAATGAAAAAGGCCCAGACGCCACAACGAAGGACGCAGACAAGAAGAGGTCCAAGCACGTGGAAACAGTGCAGGGGCTTCAACTCTGGCGGAGAGTGCGACGGGTTGTGACGCTAGACATTAACGTCCGGGCCCCTGGCCCTCTCAGTCAGCTGCTTGGAGAGATGCGTGCTGGCCACATTTCTGACGAGATGTGGGCCTTATACACCAATCGCATTCTGTCTTCCAACGACACTCGACCGCTGGACCCGGCGTCTCCATTTGCAATGCACCCGTGGACGTACATCGTGCACAGACACAAGATTCGAGCTTATCGGTCCATGCAAAATGCGCGACAGCAGGCTTTGCGCACGGGGCAGCGCGTGTACGTCGTCCAAGCCCGGGACGAGCCAGTTCACCCAGGGGACTCTAGGAAAATGACAAGCGACGTCCGCCGGGCACTCCTTCAGAAAGTAAGCCCGAAAGACACGCAGGACCTGCCCAGCTTGCTGCCCCTCTACGTCGGCATGCGCCTGACCATGTACTCGAAGGATTGCGTGCGATTGGGACTGATGAAGGGCTGCGTGTGCACGCTTCGACATATCGTCTTCGCCGACGGCGAGAGTTTCCCCGCGGACTCCCTGGACGACAATGTTGTGCACCTGCAGTACATGCCGATCACGTTATGGTTGCAAGCGGACGGCGCTGAGTGGACGCTTCCAGCGTCAGACTTGCCCGCAGACTTGCCAACGTGCACTGACAGACAGGGGCTCTTTCAGATGCGGCCCACCTACGGATACCTCCGCGCCACGTGGGAAGAGGAGAACTTTTCTGTCCGCCGGACAACGTACCGGTTACTTCCAGCGGATACCATTATAGTGTACGGCGCCCAAGGATCTGCACCCTCGGAATGGGGACGGAACTTTGGCCACAATGCCGAACAGTAATGCCTGCTCACGCAAAACAATAGTTGCTGTGCGCTGGGGCCCACCGGACACCACTCTTTGTCGTTCGGACAACAGTTGCTGTCCTTCTGACAGAAGTTCTAGTCCGGCGAACCACTGCTGCCGCAATCCTCTAGCCCGCGTGCAAAGGCACTGTTGTTCGGCATTGTACCCAAAGAACCGTCCCCCACTACGGGCGTGCAACAAGGTGGCACGTACCCAGCAGTGGTGGCCGACATGAAAAAGCCACCGTCGATGGACGCCGACACGCACTGGCTCGCTTGCTACGTCATGCTGTCGCGGCCCGTCTCCGTGGAAGGCTTGCTCATCTTGCGCCCAGCCACGAGGCGGGAATTGTCCCGACCGCCTCCGAAATTCATCCTCGACGAAATTACCCGCCTTGCTGACATGGAGACGGCGTCGCTGGACGAATTGATTCAGATCCTGCAAGATCTGAAGGGGGAACCGTTCCCGCCTGAGATCTTGGATTCAGTTCTTGCTCAGGACGGCGCCGCCCGGCAGTCCGCCGAGGTAGCCGAATATCGGAGAGCCGGGCCAGCGCTCCGCACAGTTTCTCGGCGCACGCGCGGCAAAACGACGCCACCTGCGCCCCTGTCGAGAGTTGGAGACGCGGCGGGCGCGGGCGAGGATGCTGCAGCGCAGGCGACGCCACCGTCCTCGGCGCCCCCGCTGAAGAAGCCGCGGCTGCCAAACATGGAGACGGCGCGCGCGTCGACGCCGCCCACGGTGAACGCCTCCGAGTCGGAAAGAGCAATCTGCGCGGCCGTTGGCCGCCAGTGCGCCGCCGGCGCGGGCGCGGCCCCCGCGGGGAGCACGGGCCCGCAGCCGCCCCAAGCGGCACAGCGCACCGCTGCAGCGCAGCGGAGGACGGCCCCGCTGGGAGAGCAGAGCGCCACAGCGTGCAAGCCAGACGCACACGCGGCAAGCAGCCCAAACAGCGCCGCTAACGCGAGGGAAGGTGCCGCAGATAACGACGACAACGGGAAGCGCAAGGCTGCCAGGCATTCATCCCCCCCGCGAGCGCCCTGCTCCGAGTGCGGAGAGGCTGGATGCACGCCACATTCCCCCACGTGCGCCTTCTTCTTGATCGCGCCACGGTGCGAGGCTACCTCCACTTTGCCGCGGGCTCGCGGGACCCCGTGTCCGGCATCGACGAACTTGCGCAACTACTGCGCGAAGTTCACGCGGCACGTAGCCGCGGGACCCTTCGAAGTGGAAAGTGTGGAATATGGAGCTGGCGGAGATTGCCTCTACCACAGTGTCGCGGGCGTCCTCGCTCGCATGGTGCTCCACGGAGGTGGGCCGGCACGACACATTTTAAAGAGCATCCCATCCGCAGTGTTCTTCCAGGGCTCCAACGCCACAATGCAGCACTTGCGGGCCATCTCCGCCTCGATATACAGCCAGTGGGCCCCCGAGCAGGTGCTCGACTTCGTGGTCGCTGCAGCCATGCAACAGCGCAGCAACGCCCATCTCGACGAGTGGGACCCTGCAGCGTTGCTGTCCGACTTCTGCTTCGAATGCCTTTTGCACGCTGAATGCGTCCTGGCGTTTGAAGAGCAAGATGATGGCGACGCGCTCGTTCGCATCGCGTACACCCAGGCGCACTCTGGAGCAGGCGCCAGAGAAGAGCGCATTACGAGAATACCTGGCGGAGTCGCCAACCTAGCCCAGGTTCGAGCCAGACTCTCCCACTTCATGCGTCAGCCAGGCAACGTTCATTGGGGTACTCAAACTGACGTGCGCAGTCCAAGCGACCGCTTGGATGTGGGAATCTTACTCTTTCAGGATCGCCTACGTGAACGTGCCCGCACCTGCCTCTACAATGTGGGCGGCCAGCGAGCAGATTACCCATACTGGATCGCTTTATGGTGGGAGGAGCCGATCCATTTCCGTGGCGCGCAGCTGCGCCCACGCCCCCCAGAGTCAGACGCGCACAACAGCAACCGCCCGGACGCAACGTCCTTTTGGTCTACTGCCGATCTTCCAGCATTCCTTCGACAAGAATTCGCCGAGTGCAATCGTCTGGCGGATTGACTGACCTGATGCGGGCGGATTGACTGACCTGATGCGGGCGGATTGACTGACCCAATGCCCAGTCCATGTTTCACACCAGGCTGCTGCGACTTGCGTATCGTTCGATATGCGCCAGAGCAAGACCCCAAGAAGCTTCGAAAAAAACTAAAAAAAAACACCCAGATGGCCCCAGAACGGCCCCCAAGAGTCCCAAAAGAACCCCAAGAGGCTCCAAAACGACCTCCACGAGGTTTGTGTTATCTCGAAGGGGCATACAAACAACATCTCCCGTCTTGGACTTCTCTTGGGGTCCTCTTGGGCCATCTTGGACCGATTTGAGCCGTCTTACGGCTCTCTCGAGCAACGACGGTCCACGTGCGACGACGACGACGACGAACGACGAACGATGACGCACGGCTGCAACGACGACGACGACGCCGACGGACGACGAACGGCGAACGACGAAAACGACGACGCCCAACGACGACGACGACGACGACGACGACGACGACGACGACGACGACGACGACGACACTGACGACGACGACATCGAACGTCGAACGACGATAATGACGACGAACGATTAACGACAACGACGAAACGTCGGACGACGACAACGACATCTCCGACGGACGACGACAACGACGACCGATGAACGAGAAAAGACGAACGACGACGACAGAGAAGGGCGACAACTACGACGACGACAACGATGACGACAACGACGACGCCCGTCTTGAAGTTTCTTGGAGGTTCTCAACGTGACGTTCCCTGGCAAGCCCTGTAGACAAAGTGGCGCTTCCCGTTCTTGTCCGGTCAGGTTCCAGACAATTGGCCGTTTCGCTCGGGACGTCCTCAAAAAATCGGCTCCGGAGGGGACTCCGAAGCAGCATTATCTTGGAATCGCTCCCGGAGGGCCTCCAAACGGCCCAAGAAAGCCCCCGAAGGCCCCCCAGAGGACCCCCAGAGCGCCCCAAGAGACCCCCAAGAGGCCCCCAAGGGGCGGCCAGAGGCCCGCCAGAGCGCCCAAAACGCCCCAAGAGACCCCCAAGAAGCCCCCCAGGGGCTCCAAAGAGGCGGCCAGAAGTCCCCCAGAACGCGCGAAAAGGCTCCAGGAGTTCCCTGAGAGCTTCAAAACGCCCCATAGAGCCCCCGAAGGCCCCCCCCGGGACTCCCCCAAGAGGCCCCCGAGAGGCCAGAGGCTACGACAGCCCCAAGAGCGTCCAAGATACCTCCAAGACGGCGCCGAAGCCAGGAAACGCAACAGGGATGCCCACAGGGCGTCCAGAGATGGTCTCACGCTCTGCAGCAACACCATGCTTTCAGGGTCCGCGGATATTCCTTTCTGATTCGCGGCTGCCTGCTTCTTCTCTCAACGGCGGACTGCAGCAACACCGTGCTTTCATGTTCGGAGGAGTTTCCTTTCGATTCGCGGCTGCCTGCTTCTTCTCTCAATCCCGGATGTCTGTGACCCTGTGCCTTACGATGTATTTAGCCTCGAGTCTGCTCCGAAGGATTCCGGAAAAATGGCCGTTTCGCTCGAGACATACTCGAAAAATCGGTTCCAGAGGGGACTCCGAACCGGCATTATCTTGGAGTCGCTCCCGGAGGGCCTCAAAACTGTCCAAGAGAGCCCCCAAAGGCCCCCCAGGGGACCCCCAAAACGGCCCAAGAGACCCCCAAGAGGCCCTCAAGAGGCGCCCAGAGGCCCCCACGAGCGCGCGAAGAGGCCCCAGGACTGGCCAAGAGAGCCCCAAGACGGTCCAAGATAACACCAAGAGAGCCCCCACAGACCCTCGAGAGACGCCTGAGTCCAAGAGGGTCACAGAAGCCTCCAAGAGGCTCCCAAAGTGCTCCCCACGGGCCCCAATCAGGCCCCCAGAGCCCCACGACAGTCCAAGATAACGCCAAGACAGTTCAAGATAACGCCAAGACGTCGACGTCGTGTTCGAATCGCTCTTGGAGTGTTTTCCAACGGCCCAAGGGAGGCCCAAAAGACGCCCCGGAGAGCCCCAGGAGCGCCCAAGAGCGCCCCAAGAAGACCCCAAGAGACCCCCAAGAGCGCTTTAGGAGCCACCCACACAGCTCACAAGAACCCCAAGACGGCCCAAGAAGGGCCAAGAAGGCCCCAAGAGACTCGTGGGAGCGCCCCAGGAGGCCCCCAACGCCGAGACGGCCTAAGAAAGCTCCCACAGAACCCCACGACGCGCCCAGACAGCCCAAGAAGACTCCTGAAGCCCATAAGAGGACCCAAGGGGCCCCCAAGAAGCCCCCAACAAGCCCCAAGAGAACCCCGCGCGGCGCCAGGAGCAACGTCTTTCTCCAATTGCCTCGTACTGTCCTCTGTCGTCGTCGTCGTCGTCGTCGTCGTCGTCGTCGTCGCCCTCCGCATTCGTCCTCGTACTCGCCCTAGTTCTCTTCGTCATCGTCCTTGTGCTTCTCTTCCTCCTCGTTGTCCTCATGCTCCTCCGCGCTATCCTCACGTTCGCCACGTCGTCCTCGTCATCGACTCCTCGTTGTCCTCGCCTTCCTTGTCTTCTTCGCCTAATACGCCCAATAGACTGAAGCGGCGCTTCCCGTTCTTGTCCGATCAGGTTTCTAAATTGGCCGTTTCGCTCGGGACATCCTCTAAAACATGGAGTTGGCGTTGGCTCCAGGCCGCCTTTGTGTTCAGATCGCTCTTGGAGCGCCCAAGAGGGTCCCTAGAAGGCCACAGGACGGCTCCAGTTGGCCCGCATGACGGCCCCAGAGGCCTCCAAGAGCCCCCCCAAGAGGGCCCAAGAGGCCCAAATCGTCAAATTCCTATGGGAAAACGTATATTTTTAGCATATACGACTTTCTCGTCTTCACGGCGTCGAAGACGGTCCAAGAGATCCCCAAGACCGACCCGCGACGGCCCAAGAGACTCTCAAGAGGCGCCCAAGACGGCCGAAGAGGGCGCCAAGACGGCCCAAGAGGCTCCCAAGAAGGCCCACGAGGGCTCCAAGAGGGGCCCAGAGGGTGAGCCCGAATCGAAAATCTGAGCATCTCGCCCAAAGACGGCCCTAGGAGGCCCCAGGAGGCGCCCAAGAGGTCCCAAGAGGCCCCCGAGAGGCCCCCAAGACGCCCCAAAAGGCCCCCAAGAGGCCCAACAGAGGCCTCAAGAGGTCCCGAAACGGCCCGCGAGAAGCCTCCCAAGAGAGCCCAACGAACTTTCACTTCGTCTCATTCACAATACCCAGGCACGGTGGCGGGATGGACCGAGGGTCACTAGATTTTCCATCTCCTTATCCCGAATTCGGGTTACACAGCCCCAAGACAGCTCAAGAGGGCCCGAAAACGGCGCCAGAGGGATCCAAGAGGGCCTCATGTTACAGGCCTCTTGGACCGTCTTGGGGTTATCGCCGGCCGTATTCAAAATATAATGGGCCGTCTTGGAGCATCTTGGAGTGGCCGGAGACGGCCGGAGGCATCCTGGGCATTCCTTGGAGATGTGAGGGATCTAGTCCGTTTAACCAGATCCCCCCCCCCTGCAAGCCAGCCGGACCGAACCCCAAGGGGACGGCGGATAGCTCGGGATCTTGAAGGTGGACGCGGGAGCCGCGTGGTAACTGACCGCTTGCGCACAACACTAGTAGTAGCGGTTCCAGGGCGTGAATCTGGCTGCACTTCTGTGGGTCCTGGTCGCCGAGGCATGAACCCAGAGTACTTTGCAATGGGTCGTGGCCTCGGAGGCGCGTATCGCGTGTACTTTACGAGGGATCTGCGCCTCGGGAGCGCGAGCGTCGTATATTTTCGAGGGGTCCTTGACTCGGGCATGTTTTGACGTCCCCATGTGATGCCACACCTGCAACGAACGTTCGAACATTCGCTTCCCGTTCTTGTCAGGTCAGGTTTTTGTCGTAGGTGTGGGCCCCCAGAGGCCTGGGCTCCCAGAGGTCGTTTTTTGATGGTCCCGAGGCCAGGCAGTGGCCCCAGGACGATGAAGGAGGAGGAGGAGGAGGAGGAGGAGGAGGACGAGGAGGAGGAGGAGGAGGAGGGGCTTATTTCACAGCGCGAGGGGGTCTGGGCTCTCTCTCTCTCAGGCTTCCGGTCGGTTCACGCGGCGTTGGCGCGCCTGCGACGCCAGCGAAGGCTTTCGGGGTTGAAGCCTGACGCGGATGCACCGACTACGCGGCAAACGCCATCGGGCCCGACGGAAGCCAACCTCGAACGATCGGGGCCGCGATCGATTCAAGGGTTGGACGATCGACGCGGTGGCAGCAACCTTTGCGCGCGCCGACGCCGCGCGAAAACCTACCGCACCTTGAGAGACTCCTCCGTCCGTACCGAGGGCCAGAAGGCCTGGCATCGCTCGGACGTGTGCATTTTTTTCTCGGCGAGGACCATCGAGCACCATCCTGGACCATCGAGCAAACAAAAAAACACGCACGAAACCGACAAATGCACGGGAAATGGACGTCCGAGCGATACCGAGCCGTCAGTGCCGAGGGCCAGAAGGGGCTGCGAGAGCCGACTGCCCTTCCCCGTGCCCGTGGTCCGAGGGCCGCAGAGCGGCCCCCCGCAGCTCGAAGCCCGCATGCCCCCCGAGTCGGAGGAGCATGCCACCTCTTGCTTCCACGGGCGGCGCGAGAGTGAGGCCGTGTGAGATGGGCCCTCCTCCTCCTCCTCCTCCTTCCTCCTCCCTCTTCCTACCTCCTCCCTCCCTCCCTCCTCCTCCTCCTCCTCCTCCTCCTCCTCCTCTCCTCCTCCTCCTCCTCCTCCTCCTCCCTCCTCCTCTCCTCCCTCCTCCTCCTCCTCCTCCTCCTCCTCCTCCTCCTCCTCCTCCCTCCTCCTCTCCTCCTCAGGTGCGGAGGTTCGGCCACGCCCGCAGGCCGGAGCGTGCGGGCTGTGCGAACGTGGAGCTGCGCAGGGCACTCTGTGCTGTGCGACACCACTCGTACACACTTCAAGGGACCCCAGCTAGAGAAGGAGGAGGAGGAGGAGGAGGAGGAGGAGTGCTGTTCCCACGCGTGGCCCGTTCCAGAGAGGGCCCCGCCTTCGAAGGCCGAGCGAGGCGCCATCGCTTCCTCGGTGGAAGGCGGCAGAGAGGGCCAGCGGAATGCGGCGGAAGTAAGACGAGGCTGGCAGATGTTGGCGGAAGTGTTCCTCCTCCTCCTCCTCCTCTTCCTCCTCCTCCTCCACCTCCTCCTCCTCCTCCGCCTCCTCCGCCTCCTCCTCCTCATCCGCCGCCTCTGCACTCGGCCCGACAGCAATGTATGGCGTCGCAGTTATCGGCTTCTCCACGCAGCACATACGCGAACTCAAGCAGCATTACCATACAGCACTCGGCACACGTACGCACAGGTCCTCAGGTCTGTGACTAAGGATCTGGCTCTAGATCGCGTGCTACACCCAGCAGTGCAAGCACACGGACGTTCTGACCATGTGGGCGGCTTCTCGGTGGGATGGAGTTGTGTCGGCATCGTTCCTCGATGAAGTATTATTGTGGGCGAGTCGGACAGTTACCGCCGAGACGCCTTGGTGTGACTTGCACGGTCCCGCATGAGTAGTGGCTTCCACTCTGTTGAGATGGGGTTGGTCTTTCGCTACTCCCACGACCTGGCTTACACTCTCTGGGATGTCTGTTGATATTACACGGGTCGCACCTCGTGGCTTATATGTGTGTGTCGCTCGTGACGTTGAGGAATGGACATGGAAACAGGCCATTTTCAGCACCCTCTCCTACAGCATCTCGTGGGCCCCCCTTTTCTTGTCCCCCTTGACGTCTCTCCTCGCCAAAGAGTCGCCAAGCTCAGATCCGCTCCTAAAACTGCTTTGAAAGCCATTATGACAGGAGCCTTGCACCTCCCGCTTCAGTATACTTTCTGTGGTCATGTTGCTGCTGATCCAGCGCGTGCAGTGTCACATATGCTGTGGGATTCCTTTGGTACTCTCAAGCACCGCCAAATCTTTGGCACGCCTCATAAGATTCTTGGGGCTCGCGAGTGTCATCCAGATGGCCCTGTATGGTTCACGACGCCCGTACCTGATCCCGAACGTTTGTTTCCGACGCCGTTGCTCGGGAGTGAGTTCGTGTGGGCACGAGTTGGACGGCAAGGGCTAGTCTTGATCTCCCCTGTGTCCGGAGATGGGTCTGGTATTCATGGACCGTCGTCTTGGACAATTCGTTGTGGTTCTGTTGTTGCTTCAGTAGTTCGCTTTGGGAATGATCTTGCTATTCTCTATGGGCCTTATCCTGGACTGGCGCAGGCAGTTCCTGCAGCGGAGGCCTTTGCACTCCTTGCCTTCTTGCTTGACGCAGCACTGGAAGAAGGTGGGCAGTATCACTATTACGGGGATTGTCAGTGGGTGCTAGATACATTCGCACTCCTTCGGTCAGCCTCCACCAGGGCTTGGGCAGTCCACTCCTGATCTTTGGATTCGCACTCAGAATGCAGCAAGCGATATATTGGATCTCACTATACGTATACATAAGGTGATCTCCCACTTCTGTGCAGGATGAACGGCAGTCGGTGTGGTGTACCAGGGCTGATAACGTCGTGGGCAAGTACGTTCAGAAGGGAGCAGCCGTGCATCCTTGTGACGGAGAGGCCCTTGATAGGGTAAACCGTTCCCGAGCAGTTGTCGCACTCCTGGGCAAGTGCATCGGTGATGTGGCTTCTGCGGCACTGGCCATGCTACCTCGGGGCACCCGAAGACCACCGAGAGTGAGGTCCTTCTTCCCCCGACACTGTCCGTAGTTACCCCTCCCCGGGGCTCTCCTCATCAGATTGTGTGGGGTCGGCGCCTCAAGCGCTACATGAGCCACAGGCGTTGGGCTTCTAGCAACAGCAAGGTTGCCCCCGCCTGCCCCCGATGGTTACGGTCGTTTTTCTAAGAATTACGGGGTCGTACTTAATTTGCCGCTTATGTGCGGCCTATAGTTGCACAAATGCTCCACATCTCCAACGGCTGTGTCGCGGCAAATTCAGATCCGATCGCTTTCGAAGGCGGCTGGCGAGTCTGCCCACGCAGCAATGCTGCCATCGGGACGGCGATTATCCCCATGCTGGAGATAGTTGATTTACTGACCTCCGTGGAGATCCCTGAGGGTCTATACTCTGGGCTGCATCTGCCCCTCCTGTCGCTGTAGGCAGGGTCTTATTCTATTGTGCGAGGCCTTGCCTGTCCATGGCTGCTGCGTTTTATTCTCTCCGTGGGCCAAGCTCGTAGGAGTTGTTGTTAGCCGATGTCTCACGCTGATCAGGGTCTCTCGCTCCTTGTTGTCACTCGCAGGGCAGTTCTACTTCTGCACATGCTCTGCGCGAGAGCGAAAGCGGCGCGCCACAGGCGCCCCCCCGCTCCGCCCCGTGCGAGCGGCAGCCGCTGTCCTCGCCGTCGCCGCCGCTGGTTGTGCCGCTACAGGCGTCCCGTCGTCCGTCGTGTCGTCGTCGCTGTCGCCGTCCTGGCCGCCGCCGTCGCCGCTTCTGCCCGTGGCTGCTTGTTCCTCTCTTCTTGGACCTCGTGCCCACTGTTGGCGCGCGCAAGGCCGACGTAGAATCCTTCTCCTCCTCCTCCTCCTCCTCCTTCTCCTCCTGCGGCCTCACGTGCACCCCCACTGGTACCCAGATCTCCTCGCGCCGGGAAAAAGTCACGACCGAAGGTTTTTTGCAGTTGTCGGCCCCCGTGGCCCCTTCTCACCAGGGCCCCAGGATCGCCGAAAGGCGGCTCAGGACGAAAGGCCGGCTCCGTGGAAGAGGTCTAAGCCTCCGGGGGGCAATCTCGGGGATCTGGTCATGTTGGTCCCCATGCGCTCGATGCGTTGATCTCCCCATGCAGTAGACGCCGAACGAGGTGCGGAAACCCAGGAGGCTGCAGTCAGGCAGGCGAAGAACATACTTCTCGGGTCCAAAGGGTATCGCTGTTCCCTGGGTCCTTCCATGCATTTTCCTCCAGCGCCCCCCTCGTGCACCCAGGCGTTTTGTAGGGGGCTTCGTTCCAGCCTAGCGTCCCTAGTGTTCTTTGCCCGATAATGACAGGAGGAGGAGGAGGAGGAGTACAGTACAGTGGGGCGCGCGCGCATCAAGAAACCGGATGTCTTTCGTCAGGGTGCCTTTGGTTTCTTCGCGTTGCGTGTTGCGCGAGGGACTTCGCGGTTGCCAAGAAACTCTCGTGTCCAGGATCCCCTGGGTTTCTTCCCAGTTGCACTTCGGGCAATCAAACGGCCCGCTCCCCAAGCCCAAGCCCAAGCCCTGGGCAAGAAACCCAAGCCCTGTGCAAGAAGCTTTGCGGCTCTTCAGGGTTCGGTTGCTTGCGAGGGCTTCTTGTGGCCGCGCCCCCACTGTAGACTAGAAAGAGCCTCCTCCTCCTCCTCCTCCTCCTCCTCCTCCTCCTCCTCCTTCTCCTCCTCCCCCTCCCAGGAGGAGGAGGAGGAGGAGGCGGAGGAGGAGGAGGAGGAGGAGGAGGAGGAGGAGGAGGAGCAGGACGGCCCTGTCCTTCGCCCGCCCCCCTCCGCCTCGGCGCGGAGGCACCAGCACCGGCGGCGCGTGCGCCGACGCCGCGCCGGCAGCCGAGCACGCAGCGGAAGCAACAGTCGCCCCCTCTGCTCGCCAGCAGCTCCGGGGCTGGCTGCCAGATCTTCAGTGCAGTGGGGGCGCGCATCGAGAAGCCATATGCTTTTCGTCAGGGCATCCTGGGTTTCTTCGCTCCGCGCGCTGCGCGACGACCTCCCGCGACCGTTAAAAAAACTACTACATTCAAAGTGCTCCAAAATTCCCCTCTGGTGCACTTCGCGCGCGGGTTTTCAAAATCAAATTTATTGCGAGGGTTTCTTGCGGCCGCGCCCTCACTGTACCCTTTGAGGAGCCGTTCCGATAGTGTCGATTCGAATCGATTCGATTTCGAGGAGTTCGATTTCGGGTCGATTGGATTCGACTTCCGCGGCCGACTCCGGGCTTCTTTGTGATCGCCTCGGCTTAGTAGACCGGCGGGCCAAGAATTCGATCCCTTTGGTTCCGTTTGTTGACTTCCTGCCGATTCGATGTATTCGGATTGCCGCTTCGATGTTGGGCCATCTTCCCAGGCGGCTTGTATCCCACAGTTTCCGAAAACTGGCCGCTCAGGAAATGACGCAGTTCTGGGATACACGCCCAGGGGGCTCCTCGGACGCAGCTTCATCTCACATCCCCGAGTGGGGCCCCAAGTTTCCTTGCCCAGTCGACAGCCCCACGCCGTCGGGGAGTCCAGGTCTTTTGGGGTTCTAGGTTTGAGGATCCCTGACGTCCGCCGATCTGTTTGTTCTGCATTCCGCGGCCCCAGATGTCCCCACTGCTTCCCCGCCCCCTGCTTCCCGCCTTGACAGCTGGAACCGCACGGGCGCGCTCGCTCTACTGGTTTAAGCTGCGCTTCTGCAGAGCCGGTGAGACTCGCCAGGGAGCGCCGAAACCAGTGGCTGGCCCTGAGGAGGACGGTCCATTACAGGTACAGTGGGGGCTCATGCCAAGAACCATCCTGCTTGCCTCCAGGGTGCCCTGGGTTTCTTGGCTCTCTATGGCTTTGCGATGGAAAGCGCGACGTTCCCACACCAGCAATCAAGGGGCGTCCTGGGGCCTCAGGGTAAGGATTCTCTGGGAGGCTTCTTGTGGACTGGCCTCCGCTGTATCCGGGGGCTCCTGACGCCCGTGCAGTCGACGAGGCGCCCCGGCGAACGCCCGTCATCCGGAGGAGGGCGGGATGCCGATACGCTGCTGCTCACCCTGGAGAGCTCTCGTCGCCACGTCTGGATGGCCGAGATTCGGATCAGAAGGCATCCCGTCGAGGTCCACAGAGCCGCGGCATCGGTACATCTACATATACATTCCGCTGGTCATGCTCGCCCCGTGGCTATCACCCACTCCGCGCCTCCGCCGGCAGGCTGGCTGCGGCAACGGGGCAGGGAGGGCAAGCGGGCACGGAAGGGGCGGAGTCGCCGAGGGCCGGTCAGCCGGACGCGGCAGAGGGCTGGTGGCAGAGCGGAGCGACTGCGTGCGAGTGCCGCTTCCGTTGCCTACCCTGGTGCTCCGAATGCGCGCGAGGTCTCGCAGCAGCCCTCGCGCGCAGTTCCAGCAAAGGGGCTTGCCAGGCAGCAGAGCTTGCAGCGATGTTGTACTGCGCGCGCGGCGTGGGGAATTGGGGGGACACGTGCCGGGCGGGGCGTTTCGGTCGAGCCTCTTCCGCTTGAGAGGGGGCACGTGGTGGCAGTTCAGAGCAAGCTTGCTTACCAGCCTGGAACATATCCCTATCCTGAAGCTGGGCATCTCCTCATCACGATGCCAATCTTAGGGATTCCCTTATTTTGGGGGGGGCGCATCCCTAAGATTGTCATCGCTTTTTGGCGTGCCAATCTCAGGGATAGGGATACGTTCGAGGCTGGTAACCTGCTGGATGCTGCCCTGCGTCGCCGCAGGGCGAGCGGTGCGTCACCCGCGCGGCCGTGCCGCACTCCTGGCCGGAGCCCTCGGCCGAGCCGCGCCGCCGTGGCGCTGGCTCGCACGCCTCTCCGCAGGGCGCATCGGCTCAGCAGGCGTAGGCGCCGCTCGGACGGTGGAGAGAGGGAAGGGCGCACGCTGCGCGCGTGCTAAGAGCTCTCTGTGTGGAGCACGGTCAGGAGCGTTAGCCTAGCGTGTCGTGCGGCGGGGTCCGGCCCACCGCGCCTCGGCGCAGCACGCGAGTCACGTCGCTGCCCCCAGGCCTCAAGGTGTTGAGCTCGTCCCATCTCCCCGTCACGCGAAGCAGAGCGACATGCGATCACCGCTTGCAAGGAACAGCGTGGCAGGCGCCGCCGCCGCGAAACAACAGCTCTTGACCGGAGCAGGATTGCCCAGCAGTTGCCCTCCACGGATCGCCTGTTTCCGAAAGCAGGCGCAGGGCCAGCTCAGGGGCCACTGTCGTGCACCCCGCCCAGACCCAGCGGAGACCGTCGCTCCAGCCACAGCCCACTGGATTTGCAGCTAGCAGGGAACGCCCTAGCACTGTGATGGACGACCGCTCTTGGCATGATGGACGGGTCCTGAGGGAAGCGGGACCTGGACCCTTGATCTTTTGCCCAGGATTTGTTACTCATTATGGATAGTGTTTTTACGTTCGGAATGGCCACGAGGGGGCGATCACTGCGACTAAACTCTTGGACCCGTTTCCATGAGGAACTGTCTGCTGCGTGGCGGGAAGTTTGCGCGTACCTCCCAGCCAGGTCCAGAAGACGTTCCAAAGGCGTCCGGAAAGAGGCTCGCGTTCATGCAGGGTTGGACCTCCAACGCCATGGTCAGGTGGGCCAAGGATGAAGATAGATCACCCCGGAGCGTTCCAGAACGCTCTCCGAGCGTACTGGAGCGCCCTGAAATGGCGGCGCCCGGTACACTCGGAAGTCCCAAAAAGGTGAGGTGACCGCAGCGTTGGGTGAGTCAGCGGGGATTCGGGGGTGAGCGAATGGTTTGAGTACTCAGCTCGCTCTCCGATGGCGCCTGGGTCGACTGGGGCATCCAAGCTCGCAAAAACTCTGCAGTGACGGACCGTGTGGCGAGGCTGCTCGGGGGGGATTCGGTGTCACCGTGCGGTCTGTCACCGCACCGTCTTGGGACCTCCCAAAAACACGATCAGGACCCGCCAACTCACCGATATTCCCGATGAATGCTTCATCCGAAACTATCTTCATCCTTCCTTCGCCTCAATTGCACTGTTTTGGGCGGGAGGCGGGCGGTCTTCGGGGCCTCGAATGCTTGAGCGCGCGATTGCACTCGACGCTTGCTGGAGTCGTCGATGTCTGGAGGGGCACACTTCTCCTACCTTTGGCGGCGCGCCCAAGGGGGTAACGCTAGGGGGGTGGCTTTGCAATAGGCCAGGGGTGCTTCAAAGAACGCATGGGGCTTCGTGGGCGGGCCCAGGGGATTATTTTAAAAGACTTCTCAGAAGCTTCCCGGCCCTTGCCCTTTTCGTTCCCCTCCCCCCCGTCTGCCCTCCCCTCCGAGCCCTGCAAGAAGTGCTGCCACGGACTGAAAGTCGGTGTGTGTCCTCGCCAGCGTCAGCTTGGAGATGGGGTGCCGACGACTCACGGGCTCGTTGATCGGAAATTCGCGGAGCCTGGGGGCCACCTCCAGCAAGGATGTCCACGAGGCCTCTCCTAGCCGAGAGCAGGGGATGCCTCGAGCGAGAGGGAGCGGGGCACACACCACCAGGGCCCCCCCCCCCCCGGGCTTCTCCCATGCCCCCCCAGCCGGGGGTTTGGGATGTCTCCAGCGAGAGGGAGGAAACGGCAGACGAAGGGACGACGCGACGGAAAACGGCAGACGCAGAGAAGGGACGGCACGACGAGCCGACACGGACGCAGGGCAACACACCACCGTGGGGGACCTCACCCTGGCTCCTCCTGCTGGTGGTCCCTGGTGGTGGTGGTGGTATCGGGTCGCCTCGTGCCGCAGAGCGGGGCCCCCCCGTCGATGTGTTCGTTGGCCCCCCTTCCCCGGCGGAGTGCGGCGGAGTGGGGGGGCGGATGCCGCCGGAAGCGCAGCGAGGGCGGCTCCGCGGGCGGCAGCCGCCAGAAGCACAGATCGCCGTCCAAAAAGGTGCACAGCGTGGGGATGTGCTCACTGGTGGTCATGGTTCCAGGTGTCTGCGCATGCTGTATGTCGCTTCTTGAGCCCTCTGCGGAGGGGAAGAGGGGGGTTGGAATATCGAGCTCGTCAAACCACCGACATCCGGGATGCCAGTGCAATTCTTCACGGCTCATGGGCAAACTCCACGCTCGGAGTTGATGTTTCAGCCAGTACAGTCTGCCGCACGCAGGGCCATCACAAAGAACTGTTGTTTCGCCCGTTGAGGCTGCACATGTATCACAACAGTCTAAGCGGTTCGAGGCCCTGGACAAAAGAGAAGGAGCTACCGACCATCGTGACGGACTCAAGATATTTTGTTATCCACGCCTCGGACAAGACGTAATCAAGCCCGAAAGCAAGTGCGTCGCATCTGGCGGCTGGCGGTCCTTAGCTGGAACATTGAAGGTAGGAGGAACGACCATAGACCGCCCTGATCAGGAATACCGTCTGACTTGCGGCGAATGTGTGATTCAATGCACATTCCGATGGCACGAGCGTTCTGACGAGTCTGTCAAATCTGGTCTGGTGTTTGTAGATGCGGCCTGGCAAAGTGATGGCTACGTGTTGCTTACTGCCATCTCTCGCTCTCTCTCTCTCTCTCTTTCTTTATCTATCATGTTTCTTTGTTTGTCTCGCTGTCTCTCTCTCCCTCCCTCTCTCGGTTTTTCTACATCTCTTTCTCTCTCTCTCTATCTCTTTCGCCTCGCTCTCCCTCTCTCTCTTTCTATTTCTCTCTCTCTCTCTTTCTCTACCTCTATCTCTAGATTTCTCTCTCTTGCTCTCTCTCTCTCTCTCGTCTCTCTTGTTCCGTGTCAGTATATTTTATTTCTTTGTTATTGTTCTTTCTTTCTTTCTCTCTCTCTCTATGTATATCTCTGCACTGGTCATCACTTTCCTTCTGTCGGTTGAGCTCTGCCTCTCAATGATAGTTTTGAGCGAGGTGTTGCCACAGTTGGCTCTTCGCATTGCACCAGCCAGCCTCTGGCAGGCCGAAGGACAACGCCAAAGAGAAGGTTGAGGAGAAAGCCAGAACGGACAGGCCGAAGCAGAACGCCAAAGAGAAGCGGCGGCGGAAGGGGGACGCGAAGGGCGAGGAGGACCCACGAGCCTCTGGCAGAAGGGCGGTGGCCCAGGGATCCAGAGACTCGCCATCAG